AGATCGACAGCACTGTGTTAAGAACGCAGATAGACTAACTTATCATAGTTAACTTTAATGCATCGGTTTTGTTAATGATACCAACCATTCATGAACTCTGGATTTATTGTATTCAGGAATAAGAGCGGCTGTCTTCCTCTGCTAAGACGTGATAACAACAATCCCTTCATCCTGCACATGATCATGTTTTGATTTAGAGTGTGCACGGAGAGGAGGGAAATAGATGATAAACTCTCATCTGCGGTCAATCCAAATGACCCAGTATGCATTATCTGACCTGACCCTACTTCCAGATTGGGTTAAATGCAGGTCTCGGCTTTGGTATGAAAGGGTAAACGCAGAATCCTGTCAGGCATCGGTGTCTCTCCTGATGTTACTGGCTTTTTTAATCGCGTTGCAACCGACTACCAAACTGGTCTTAAAGAAATAGAGAGAGAGAAAAAGAAAGAAAGCATTAGTGGGCACAAAAATAAACTGCAAATGGTGCTTTTTGCTCATACCTACTAATGCAGAGAAAGCACCAGAAGAAAATGCAATTCTATGGTTTTAGCAGCGATGTGTATTGAACTACTGTTACAGGCCTGATTCTCTGTGACCTGTAGCAGAAGTCTCGCCTGAAACCATGACAGGAACACACATTCAATATGTGTCAAATGGGCATGGAAGTGATAATAATGGATGTTTCTACTCAGAACCATTTTATTATCTGTATTATCCAAAGGCCACATGATTTTCAGAGCTATCTAGAGCATAGATGCTTCTGTCTTAAACATAACCAGTCTGACGGGTTACTATGGGTTTATTACTGCCTAACGACCCGTGATAACAACAATCAGGCTTGTTGTGGGCTCCCTTAGATTTCCTTTGTTTTCATTGTTTTTCGCTACTCAGTATTTGTGATGCATGATTAACAAGCTTGTTTTCAGATGTCATGGGGAATACAGTGAACAAACTCTAGTGAACCAAATGAAATTACAAAACAAATCACCCAGATCATTGTTTGTGACATTAATGGTCCTTTCTAGATTCGACCTTCTTTCCATTTCAGAGTAATAGCTGTTGCGACATTTACAGTGGTTGTCCGAGTCCAAGTTAAGGCACTCGTATTGCTGATTTAAGTGCGGTTTGCAGTCAAACACGTCAAGCGTAATTTGGTGGGCTGTATTCTAGCTCCACACCGCCCACTTGAGTACAGCCAAGACAGGTGTCTCAGTATGACACTCCAGCGTAATCCTTTTGTAATCCTCGCCCAAGCTCAGTGCTCAGTTTCTTAATCCCAACTCTAATAAACAAGTTAAAGCTGAAGTTAATGTGTCCAGTAAAAAGTGCAGCAAGTGCCTGTGTGCCACGGGCGAGTTACTGTGTGATCACTGGAAATCCAGGCACAGTTCCCCCTCTGTCAGCACTGTGAGGTATGCTCAACGCCAGTCTGAGATTCATAGGATTTCTGTCTGTTAGTTCGACATTATTCTTGCCAGTGTGGCTTTCTCAAGGAGTTGGCATGGGGTTTCAGTTAAGAGAAGGTTTGCGTGACACTCAGGCGTTGTGGTTCTTTGGGGGGGAGATTTTTAAAATCCGTTTGTATAGTCTTGCAAGCAGAGAAGAAATCATGGAATTTGGCATCGGGTAGAGCTTTGTGTAATCTGACAAGTTGTGTAGTTGAGTCGCATGTGGTTTTTCAAAACCCCGGACAAGACGTCAAGCATTTCACTGTGTGGGTTTACTTTCTGCAGTCCCACAGTGAAAGTCCTTTTGTTCACTCATCCATTGATAGAAGTTGGAAATAGAGCGCCACTGTTCGTGCACATTGTACACTGGTGCTCTTTTCATTGTGATTCTATTCTAATTATTTTGTACCATGGTTCTTTTATTGTGTAGTGGCATTAGACTGGCGTGTCCCTTCTTTATTTGTGACTAGTGAAATGGAATAATTCTCCTGTCTTTTTAACATGCCAGGGTTTTAAGTGGGGGAGGGGGGAGTCAAAGCACATCCAGCAAGGTTATACTCGATCTGCAAACGTAAGATAGGGCAGTGAAGTTCATCGAGATGATTGGATTCATAGAGATTATTAACCTCGGGAATATAGGATGGAATTGTTCTGTGAATCACCAGTTTTCAGTGTCTGTAAAACAAATAATTGGAGAGTTAGGGTGAGCAAAAGGCTTCTGATACCAAAGCTAGGCTATACTTAGAAACCTGTTAAATCCTGGAACCTCAATCTGCTTTGACCTGTTTGTTACTTTAATTCATCCGAGTGTTATTTGTCTGTTGTAATTTTAAATTGGGCTTTATAACTCATTACCTGGTTACCAGAAATGCATTTTGTTTCAAGTGTGACTGGTTCTGTCTCTATTAGTGTCGAGGCGAGAGCTGCAACAATTACTTGGTTAATCGAACAGTCGATTGACAGAAAATTAATTGATTAATTCTCCGGATTGCAGCTTCTTAAATGTGAGTATTTGCTGGCTTCGTCATCGTAAACTGAACATCTGTTGGTCGGACACTTACACCTGGGTTTATTAATAAACACTGCCCACTACCAGCTAGGAACCGGAGCCCGCTACTCAACCTACTTCATTACAGAAAGGAGGCTATTTCCAGGCCATTATTCTGTCACCTAACCTTGTTCACAAATACACCCCTAATGTCAATCCCCAAAAATGTCGACACAAACAGTTTGAGGAGTTGAGTCAATTTACAGGAGACTCTGCATGGACCTGTTTGCACCTTTTCACCGTTTGCTGTCACTCTGAAGGAGAGTTTGATGTGTGGTCTTGTCTGTGGCTCTCTGTGTCTCCATAAGGCCCAGGAACAGTGTGTGGTGACAGCTTGGGTGATTACCTGTCCTGTCTCATTCACTCAGCCGGCCTGCAGCTTGGCCACATCATGCATCAGAAACTGACACACGGTGATTACAATGTCGTTAGGGCTGACTCTCTGTCGCTCTCTGCACACATTAATTTGCTCTTCCTCTGAGCACCGGGAGAAATGGTCTATCCATGCTCATTTCTGTAAACCGTGAAATATGAAGCTTCTGTCTTGAGCTAATATTAAATTTCATCAGGGACTAATGTTTGGTTTTCAGAGCACTCAGTTCATCACAGATTCAGATTTCTCATTCTGTGATTGATCGGAAATGTCTCACACGGCATAATTCATGGCGGTATTGCTCTCAAATAATCTGTTTTTATAAATCATGATCTATCACAGCGTTGTTTATGAATCTCAAATAATCAAATCCATTAAAAATTCCATCAGAAGTATTGTTCACCTTGAGAAAGTACATCTTGAATGATAAATTAAAATGCTATTGTCTTATCAATCTTCCTGGGCAGGTTATTATAGCAAGCCTTACGTACGTTGATGTTAATGTGCATACATACATGTTTCCATATATGTATTTTGAATTTGAAACCAAAATAATGGACAAATCCAAAGTAGGATTCATCATCTGGGAACCATGAATGTAAACTAACTACATAAACTAAATAACTGGAGGATCAGTGAAGACATTAAAGTTAAGTTGTACCAATAGAGATATTACCTACCGACACACCGACAGACCAAGCAAATTTAATCTGTAACGTCGATACATACGGTGATAAATATTTGTAGTTCTTCACATCATACTCAGTTTGGAACAGTAAGTAGATTAGAGCAATTATTTAAAGGCTGCACAGGCTTATAATCCAATGTGTCAGTTGTTATTTTGTCTTCTAAATCTAATTGGATCCAGCATTGGCAGCATATTCCCGAGCACTGAGTGGTTTATGCCCAATTAATAAATGTGTGTTGTTGGCTGCGGCATGGCATTCCTCCTGCAGTTCATTGCTAATGATTTGGAGCGCTTTAATGTCGACTGCCTTGAATGAAGAGCACTAAGCCTGGTGTCACTGTGGCCCTTAAATCACCATCAGTCTTCCTCTCTCTGTCTCTTTTCCGCCTACACATTTTTCTATCTCCTGTTCTCGTGCACGCTTCCCCTCGGCCGCTCTCATCGCCTCCCTCCCCTCCTGTTCTTTTCATTTTCGCTTCCATGTAGGCCCACTGTCTCTTCATTGCTGTCACAGTGTGTCAGAACAGGTGGAATCAATTACTGACCTTCAGCGGCTCACTCCCCTACCACAACTAGCTCTTTAATTGAGGGAATTAATGAGTGATCAGCCTGTGAGATGATTCGGTCTCATGGATCTCGCTCGACTGTGCGAGGGAGGAAAGCCGGGGGAGGGATTGTTTGACCAATCCTGCATAACTAATTCTGTCCTTCCAGAGAGGCAGTCGAAGCCGGCCTTCCCTGCCCGCTAATCACCTCTAAGATTGAGGAAAGACGCAGTACTATGTTACAACACTAAGTGCTGCATCGCTCTTACTGATTAAGATTGCTTTCAAGGGCCACTGGCGTACAGGATGACTTCCATGTGCTCAGCAGTTTAACTTCCCCTCATTGTGGCATCCATTGGCTGTATCTGAACATCTGCTCTGCATGTGTTTATACGAAGGGTGCCCCGATTGATCGGTCACCGATCGCAATCTGCCGATATTCTTCTTTAAACAGAGATCAGAAGAGCCGATCAGCTGACACATTTAATTTACTCCACAGGAAAAGTTATTCAGATTTTGACACGCATAGATTAACTCGGGTGGGTCGACTGTGTGTCAACGGGCTCGTTTTTAGTATTTTGCAGAGAAACGGAGAGAGAGACTGCTTAACGAGCGCGAAGCAGCATCTGTTTTTTTTTTGTTTTCGATGACATTCAGAACGCGAGTTGTGTTTTCTGGGTGACTTTATAAAACTTGCTAACTAACAGTATCGGAGCAGACACGTACAGCTTGTTTATGGCGAGAGAAGCAGAAAGAGGTGGGGTGGAGCTAGCCTGTGTGTGTGTGTGTGTAATGGACCCAGTGATCGGTGATTGGTCTCTAAAACCCTGATCGAAGCGCCCTTGGTCTACACGGTGGTTCTGAAGTGTCTCATGTGTCTCTACTTCTTTCTTCACAGATGGAATCTCCCGTCTCCACGCCAGCCCCTCCTCCCCTCCACCTCCTGGCCACAGTAGGCAACAGTGAGATCGCCTCGCCGTGTGAGCAGATAATGGTGCGCACACGCTCAGTGGCGGTGAACACATCTGATGTGGCCCTGGCTACTGAACCTGAATGTTTGGGGCCCTGCGAGCCTGGTACCAGTGTTAATCTCGAAGGCATCGTGTGGCAGGAAACTGAAGACGGTAAGTGAAGTGGTTTAACATGCTGTTCGGTAGGGCTGAGAATCTTTAGGGGTCGTGATTCGACTCGATTTGAAACACATTTGATTCGTTAAATTGAAAATAGACTCCATGTTCGAGTTCTTACTCCGACGCATTTTGTGTAAACATTAAACATGAAGCTGATCTTAATTACAACTGTCTAAACAAAAGCCTTTTTATCTAAAACTAGTGTAAGTGTATTTAAATTTAGCTGTAAAAATGGATTACACTTTTAAACTTGAACTGGTCTTTTGAAGTGGATTGTATTATTTTCTTACTCCAGAGTTTGTTTGTAGACGTTTTGGAAAGAGGTGCCGCGTAGGAAGAATCGCAATCCTTACGTGAATCGATCCCCCTCCCACCCACACAGCCGCACTGTTTAGTCAATCTCCTACCTGTGAAACAACTGAGTCCTGTATTCTGGCATAAAAGAAAACTGGCTACAAACAGATGGGATTGTTTGTTTTGTTCTTTTATTTACATACCCAGCGCGGTTGCATTAATACATCAAAGAGGTATTGGTTTGTCGAGGCTTTAGTCGTTTAAAATAAAATTATCATGTTGCTGTCATTACCATACATTTTTTTAGCCTGCTAAAATGTAATTGGATACGGCCCGACTGCCTCAAGAGCTGGTGGTGGTACTAATGTGTGCTTTAACAGCACTGCATAATATTGCCAACAAGAATAGTAGTTGGCAGGCAGTTCTTAGGTGGCCTTGATTTGTTTTTTGCTCGGGAGTACGCAGACGGGAGTTTCTATATATCTAGATATCTGCTCTCGACAACAACATGCCTCATAACACAAAGCACTTTTTTTTAGTATGCCAGTTGGGAATAGAGTTGCTCCTCTCCTGTGGTGCAGTCCGAGTGAAATCTTAGACTCTCTCCGTTTTCCTCCGTTGGATCGAAAACCGCATTCGGCTTATTTAATTTTAAGATGTATCGCCAGCACTATCAGGTTCTGCTCGGTCTGAAAAACTGCCCCCTTTTTTCTTGTCGTGCATGTGAAATAATGCAAACACCAAATCTTCAAAGCAGCTCGCGCTCAGTTGCTCTGCGGGCATGCTGAGTACAAATCGCCCACACATCCACAGTGCTGCTTGTTGGTTCACTTGGAGGAAACAGAAAAAAGGTCCCTGCCTCATCAACATTCCCAAAGCACAGTCCCTGCTATTGAGTGGCTTTTTCCCCCCTCTCTCCCTCTTTTTGATTTTTGCTCCAGCCCTGGGCTGTGTCTGATTCACCCCTGTTCTCTTCTCTTTTGCAACTCTTTTCTGTTACCAAGCATCCAGCCAGTCACCCCTTGACTCTGTTTCCAAGCAAACTGGGAGAGAGCGAGTGCAAGGCAGGGGGTTGGGGCAGGCGGGGGGGGGAGATAGACAAGGCTACTTCTGTTAGTGACACAAACATGGCTCAGAGCCAACACCAGTACTATGTTTGTGCTCCCTCATTCTCTGCCTCCCACAGAGTGATTGACCCTCCCCCTCGCCCTGCCCCCGTCCCTTTCCCCGTCCAAGTCTGTCCTTTGCCTGCACTCACTCTCTCAAAGCTGCTATTTTGGCTGGAAAGGTAGTGGTTTGGCCTGATGGGGCTGTGTTTTCTTCGGATTCTACTCTATCTGGCTCAGTGGGGAAGGAGCTGGTGGGAGCTTGTGAGTGGTGATAAAAGTGGTATGGTGGAGAGGGGAGGTAGGAGGGTATGTGTTGATGTGAGGAGGAGGGGTGCGGGGCATTTTGCAGGTGTAACACGCAGGTTGTTTTGGCCATCTGAGCTGTGAGACCAGTAGGGTTTCTAGAAACCAACACACTGAGTTCTCTTTGAAGCCTGTTTTTTTTATTACACGCAAAGCCTCTATCAGGGTAGAGAGTCTTATGAGACAGGATGTAGAAGAGATATATTTAAAAACAGCAACCACGAAGAGACCCTCAGTGGTCTGACACCACTGCTCGCTCACTGCCTACAAAATCAGCTACAGTTGAAACATCTGTACAGTAGAAATCTGTTGTAGCTGAAATGTGCGCTGTTCGTTAATCCTCACCAGATATGTAATTATCAGCTCTCGCTGTCATAAAACGCCATCAGTGTAGCTCTTACAAACATATAGATTGAATCTGTAGTGAGTTTCACAATAGCTTCCATTGTATTACATATTGCACACTACATTAAACAACACAAAGATGTGTATTCCTTCTACATCATTTTAATGGTACAAGCCCCTAACAACCCACTGGCTAGTTTTAAAATGAAAGAGACCCAGATGCTGCTGACTTCAAGCTGCACTGCCATTCTGCTGTTTTTTTCCTAAGAGACCTATGAAAGCAGACTTCTCTCATTGTGGGGCAACTGAGCAAATGAAAACCAAATGAGGAAATCAAGCAAATCCAGGCAGAATACCAGGGAAGAGCAACAAACAGAGGCCCCAAAGACATAGCAGAGGCATCCTGATTAGCAGTGAAGTTAAGCAGTCCCCCACTTCTCTGCATGACAAGTCTCATACAGAGCTGTTTAGGCATTCACTGTGTGTGTGTGTGCGTTTCATTTAGCATGCCAACCAACAGCTGCTTCATCACCTCCGCCTTTCGGCCTTGTGGGAGTAAATGAACAACAGGCTCTCAGTAATTGTCTGTGCCTCACCCGACTCCCTGAGTGCCAGAGAAAGAAACAGATGAGGAGGAAGCAAGCGACACCTAACACAATACGATCACAGAAGCTGAACCTTTGGTCAGAGCTGACAACAATCTTGGCCGATGAGGGCGAATAAATGTTTCATCCTGTGTAATTTGAGCGCAGACGCAGCAGCCCCGTTAAACCGACTCTGCATGCTGACAAGGTTTAAATAACAGCAACTGAATACCTCGATTGCTGAATTTAAAAAAAACAGCCCTTAAAAACGAATAAAAGCACAATTTGATGCATTTAATCCGGTGTAGGAGAAAATAATAGATAATATGAGGTGAGGGGAAGAGAGAGTCTGTCATTCAGTCAGTCTGGGGGCGAGTGAAGCGTAGACAGGAGGAAGAGGAGGTGGGGATGCAGGGTGGTTGCGGGGGGGGGGCAGAGCCGTGGTATTTTAAGGCCCGGCACTGACACAAATCCCCTCAGCGCAGACGAGGCAGTGGCAGCTCCCAGGGTCGTGTCGGCAGAGCGATGGGCCAACCCCTCCCAGGCTTAGCATGCTGATACCTCCAAATGTCATCTCTAAAATGCTGGAGAAGTTTATTGCTCTTGAAACGCAGCCCAGAACGCCTTGGCTCATGCTCCAGGGTAGAGGGAACACAGAGGGGGCCCCTTTGGCCAAACACTGCAGCTCCATGCCAGTGCCCCAACCCCCCCCCCACACACAGCACACACACACACAACACACACCACACACCACACACACCACACACACACACACTCCAGTACACAGCAGACTATTCCCCAAGCAGGTCCCACAGATTCTTAAGCTCCCTACTAGATAAATAATACAGGCTGTTTGTGATAAAATGTTTGTTTCATGGCTTATTTATGCAACACACATTAAATTATTGTATCACTGGAAGCATTGGCTTTATCGCTGGAGTTAAAAGCTGTTTGGCATCCGAATAGGAGAGAGGTCAGTGTGAATCGGATATTCCTGTATAAACATTTGAGAGATGTGTCTTTTTTCTTTTTTTTTTTTCTCCTTCTCTGCTCCTGTCAGTGAGTTGAGAAGGGGAATATTGTATAAAAGGAGCACTTGGCTCTGTAGCTCACTTGCCAGCTATGCTTCCTTGCTCTTTTGAAGACCACCTGTCAGTGGCCTCATTGAAATGTTTTTACAAAGGCGAGCGGTGGCTGCTCTCTGTGAACTCGCCATAGAAACCGTCCTTGAAATAAGAGTGAGCATTCTCAGGAGGCCTGTAGCCCTCTGCCAGGCCAATGAGCTAGAAGAAGATGGAGTGAGAAATCAATCACAGGAGACCAAACTTCAGTTAACAGTAGAGGACGTATTGAAAAGAAAAGAACAAAAGTGATATGTTTTTTTTTTTTTGTCTATAGCCTGTAGGTTTTCATTCAACAGTTCCTCGATCATTTTACCCTCATCGCTGCTCACTATGCAAGAGTGGAAGTGACCAGGGGGAAGAAAACGCTCACCAGAATATGTGTGTGAAAAAAGGAAATGAGGATATAGACGAGTCACCTTTCTTTGAGGGAGGAGCCTTGTCTTGTTAGTCACAAGTTCAGTCTCCGGGTTATTTTACCAAGATGGCGCCGGAGTGAACCCAAATCTCTTAAGAGAGATTTTGTTCCTATTCATATTGGCCGACAACTGCATTTTTTCAAGCACTTAAATGGTCTTGAAACGTAAATCATATGCCTGGAGGAATTGTAGGCTTTGCCAGTGGTTGTCATAAGATATCAAGTTTGCTCTATACACTTCAACGAGAGTTTGAGTAATGCGCCTTTGGCAGACCTGTCTCTTAATCTCAGCACCATCTCCTTTAAGGAAAAACACCAGAGGGTTTGTTTTAACAGAGATATTGTAGATTTACCCAGTTGACATTTAAGGAAACAGCTCCTTGCCTCAGTACAAGTTATTTACAGTCATAAATACATGTAAAGTTGGTAGCAAAGTCAAAAATTCTTCCAGTTGCATTTATTACACGTGTTTTGTGATCTACTCCCGCTGTAGGAGTAAACATGTACTGATTTAGTTTTTTATTTGCGGAGGGAGAAACTGCTGCATGCGGCTGATAATGCTGCGACGATGTGCAAAGCATACTAATGCTCCCTTCCTTTGCCTCTCAGTGGTATGAGAGAATTGACCTTCTCACAGGCTGTTATTCTTGTCAGTGAGAGTGACTTCCCACTTTTACCTCTTATGAACCGGAATGCAACCTGAACTTTTCCGATAGGGCTCACTTGAATGCCCTGAAATACAAAATAAAATCATCAACCTTGTATTATTTGCTTGTAAAACTCTATTACTTATGGTATGCCTATCAGTGCATTTCCTGGC